TGAGAGTGAACATGCACACACATAAACATATACAAAATAAATATAATGCAATTTTGGCAGGATGGAGTAGTGGTTGGAGGGAATCAGGAAGGACCTAATATAGTAGGTAGCAATTGAAGTAAGCTTCGAAGCAAACTAGAGATGCCAAGAATAAAATGAAAATGGAGTGCACTGTAGGCTTGGGAGTGGTAACAGCCTGGATAAAGGCATGGAGGTGGGACATGAAATGTTGTTTCTAAGGAACAGCAACAGTCTAGTTTGGCTGGACCTTAAAGGGTGTGGAGAGGACTACATGTAAAATAGGTCCAGAAAGGTAAGTTGTGAAGAACTTTAAATACCAAACAGGTTATGTCTCTCTTCTGTCAGTTTGAAAGGGCTGATGTAGAGAGGGATACACAAACTCATGAAAGGTCAGTTGAGAAAGTAATCCCAGACACTATTCTCCTGAGCACACAATTCTTTGTGAATGCCCTTGCTGTAAAATCTCAGAAAGTTCCTGGTCTGCTGAATCTTCTCATAAATTGTGAAAAAGTCAGATTGCTAACATCAGAAAAACCTCAGTCCTGTTGCTAGGGACCTGACTATCTCCACTGGAGTGCTGCAGGTGATGAGAAAATGGCTTTAGATGCATCTTCTGAACAGCTATGATTCTCCCAGCTATGTACCCAAGCCATTCTTCTTTGTAGGCCTCTATTATAATTACATTTTGTGTATAATTTTGGCCCATCAAAAAATTAAATAAATATTTTATTCTCATAGCAACCCTGTGAGGTCGGTGCTCTTATTATAACTAATTAATAGTCATTGACATTTATATGGAGCTTACTATGTGCCAGGTGCTATTATTTTCTTCATTTTACAGATGAGAAAATCCAGGTGAACAGGGGTTAAATGTCTTGGCCAGGATCACATGGCAAGTAAGTGTCTGAGGCTAGATTTATACTTAGGTCTTCCTAACTCCAGGCCAACCACTCTATCCACTGTGCCATCTGGCTGCCCCAAGTGCTCAGTGGGGAGAGATAGTAAGAGATTAACTGTTGGCACTTTCCCAGCATGGAGTTTCAGCTCTGTATAGAAGAGAGAATCATTGATTCAATATTTTATAGCATCCCCAAAGTTTAGACAAAGGAGGTGGATCTGGATCAGTCCTAGACAGAAAAAGCTAAACAGCTTCCACCGGAGGGAAGTTTGTAGGTGAACTAGAATTAGTTTTTCCTAGGTGATTGACTCAAGTACTTCCCCTTTCCCATGATTTCTTCCCATAAGCGGGTTTGAAATAAAATCCATCCCCTGAGAGGCAGAGTCAAAGAAGCAACTAGACACTCTAAGGGAAGCCAGAGGAGCTAGGGGAAAGGGGATCCCACTCACAAGATGAGGGTGAGAAAGAGGGAGTAACTTGACCCTTGCTCAGGACTCAGGTACTTACCTTCTATTCTACAGAGCTGTTAGATAAATAAATATAAATATAAACAAAGTAAATATAAGGCAATTTGTTGAGGGGAGGGAAAGAAGAGGCAGTGGTAGGTGTGGAAATCACAAAGGTGCTTGTGCTATGCTTTGAAGGACAGTAGATGGTGATTTCTCTCAGTTTTATCCTATATAAAATGAATGAATCTGGCTAGAGCAATTAATTCAATGAAACAAACAGTTATTAAGTGCCTTCTCTGGGTAAAGCTCTGTTCTGGGAGCTAGAGATATAGAAACTTTAAAAAAAGGACACCTACTTGCTTCAAGTAACTTATATTTACTATAGGACCTTGCATTCTCCTTGGATAACCTCTAAGGTCTCTATATGAATCATATGGCTCCCAGAATATGAATGCTTTACACATACTTACAAAATGAAGAATGACAGTCTAGTACATATTTCACACTGAATTTCTCCGTGGACAATTCATATTTTAGAGAAATTTGCCTGTGTTTGTCCATTTGTGTAATTGTGTTAGGATCTGAATTCTATTTACTACCTTTGCCACCTAAGCTCTCTGACCCTCAGTTTCCTCATCAATAAAATGAGGATCGTAATACTTAACACTACTTAATTCACAGGGTTATTATGAGAAAAGTGCTTCGTAAACCTTAGCCCTGTTACAGTGGCCCAAAATTTTCCCAACAAGTTAAAAAGATTAAGGAGATAACAGAACAACTCTGCCAAGGTACCATTTAGTTTGGGATTTTTCCTGGGTACTAAACCCTGGAGATCTGGAAAAGGCTAACTAATCCATTAGCATAGGGGGAGGCAATTTGTAATAGCTAAGTCAGGGGTGAGGAACCTGTGACTCCAAGGCCACATGTGGCCTTCTAGGTCCTTGAGTGTGGCCTTTTGGTTGAGTCCAAGTTTTATAGAACTAATCCTTTTACTCAGAGGATTTGTTCTGTGAAGTTTGGATTCAATCAAAGGGGTGCATTTGAGGACCTAGAAAGCCACACGTGGCCTCGAGGTCACAGGTTCCCCACCTCTGGAAGGGTTAAGAAAGGGCTATGGTTTTCTCAACTGGAAGATCTGAATCATAGCACATCAGATCTGGAAGAGACCTATTCTAGACCAACACTCTCAGTTGATGGATGAAGAAATGGAAGCCCAGAGAGTAAAGTTACTTGTCCAAGGACACACAGGAAGTTAGTGGTAGAAATGGGTGTAGAACTCAGGTCTCCTGATTCCCAAACCAGAGCTTTTCCTACTGTACTCCGCTGCTGGAAGACAATAAGGGGAAAAACCATGTGACTATCAGGTGTTTTGTTGTTGTTGTTGTTGTTGTTGTTGTTTTGTGTATGTGAGATGATGCTTGAAATTTCTAGTTTTCATGAGGTCAGTAACAATTCCCTAAATTAATGCATAGAAGAAAGCCATGAAATTCCTCACCGGATTGTATAGTTCTCCAATCTAATTTTTGCTGCCAGAAGAAGTTTTTTTAGTTTAAGCAGATTTTCTGTTCTGCGGCTTTCTGATAGTAATGATATGGCTCTTGGTAAGATGAACCAGGAGCTGTATGAATGTTGTGGTAAAAAATCTGAATGTAGAGTAAAAAGACCAGGTTAAGTTGTGGTTTTGCTACTTGACTGATAAATGACCTGGTATAATAATAATAATAATAATGATGATGATGATGATGACTTTTGGGGATCAGATCTGTGATTTCCTTGGTATGAGGAACTCCTGTTATGGAAACTCCCTCTGCTGAGGCAAATCTGCAGCTACTTTGCAAGTAGTAGTCTTTTGGAGTTGCCTGGGGACATTGAGAGGTTAAGTGATTTGCAGAGAGTCACACAACTAGCATAAAGGCAGGACTTGAATCCTGGTCTTCATGATTCAGAGGCTTCCTATCTATCCACTGCATTATTATTCCTCTCACCTGATGTTCACAGTATACTTTAAAGTTTTCAAAATTCTTTATATGTTATCAGTTTACCCCTCTGGGTCTTGGTTTCCTCATCTGTAAAATGATGATCTCTCAGGTCCCATTCAGTGCTGACAGAGTGTGATTCTTTCATCTCTATTATGGACATCTCCCACAAAGTAATAAGCCCCCAGCAAAGCATTAATGTTCAAAGGTTTGCGGTGTGGGAGGCAATCACAAAACTCCCCAAACTTACTCCCCCCGGAAAAAGAAAACAAATGTTAATGTGGGAGAAGAAAACGTGGTTGCATTTAGCTATTTAAATATGAATCTCATGCCTGAAAAAAGCCACTCATTAAATCTTATGGTGCTGCTACCATATCACATGACAAATCTTAGGAGCTTATTGGGTCATTATGCCATGGGCTGGGAGGGTGGTCGTGGGAGGCTCAAAGAGAAGAGGAGGGAGGGGAGCAGAAATGCAATGTATTCTTCAAGATTGTTTATAAATCCAGTCATTGTCCTGGCCCTTAGCAGCCTCATTAAGCAAATTTCAATGAACGAAAAGACCCCAGGATCTCAGAGGTACATCCCGCAAAATACCCAGTAAGTTATAAAGAGGGGCTTAGACAGCAGACATAAAGAAGAGTCTGACTAAGTGGATTATATTTATATTTACAGAATGGAAATTTCCTGCCTCATGCACAGATAAAAGGTACATTGGAATTAGAAGAGTATAATAAGCATATGCTACTCATCTATACAAAACGTACAAGTATATGCATATATATAAAATCAACACTATGCATATGAAATATAAACAGTATTCTAAAATATACAAAAACCAAATTTAGAAAATATGTAACACATAATATATACATCCATAAAATATATGTAATCCATATAGATACTACATGTATATATATATGTATATACTCTCTCTCTCTCTATATATATATATACATACTCTATAATCAAATTATTTTATAAGGGTAATAATGATGTATCTGTATTTCCACAACACCCCCTTCATATAAAAATTGTCTCCTTTATGTGTAAGTGGGATCTACTCCATGACAGTAAAAGAAATAATGATCTCTGTAACAGGTAGTGTAGCCCCTAGGGGAAAGTTTCTTTTAACAGTACAGATTTGGATGACAGCCATTCCGAAAGGAAACTAAAAATTAACAACATAGCCACCAAGTTTAAATCTTGGTTTCATAGAATACAAAATGACGTGAGTGATCAGTCCTGTTTCAATTCCTTGTCCTAATTGCTTTTTTCTTTTTTTTTTTTTAAAGGTATTAGTGAGATCTAATGGGAATACAAATAATGTTACCTGAAGTGTGTTGGTACCTTGCAATCCCAGTTCTCAAAACTGGTAGAGAGGCTGCTGTTGGTGCAGCAAGCACAATCAGATCATGATGGACTTTGTTTTTCTTTCCTGAATAATTGTCAGGGAAAAAACTAACCTTTGGGACACATCTATTCCATAGCACGTTAAGTGCGTATGTTACCTTCCCCTCTGCACCCAACATGCACACACACTCTCATTCAAATAGCCTTACAATTATAATCCCTTCCAGCTATATTAGGGATGTTGAGGATCAGTAGATTTTATTTGTTTAAAAAAAAAGGAAGAAAAAGGAAAAACAAGCTTACCCTTTTGCTGATCAAACATAGAAGAGGTGCTAAAATCCATGGTGTCGTAGATCAGACTGGCTTACCATTCACACTGGGCAAAAATCATCTTCCAGGTCTCTAGAATGGAAAAAAACCACACTGCACCATCGCACACGTTTGAGCCCATAGAACACTCACTGATAGCTGTGGCCAAATCCTCTCATGTGAAAATTTAAACATGTGCTGCAGCTTCAGGTTGTTGTCAAGGCAAATCAAATGGACCAGGTATAAGCTGCCAAAGAAATACTGGCATAGTGATAGAGTCTCTTTGAATGGTCTCACTGGATAGCTATATTAGCATGAGTGTGTGTGTATGTGTGTGTGTATGTGGGGGATGGGGAGAACGACCCCCGAATCCTCCAGTGTTATATGTGGGGGGACAATCTGTCTTTTATCCAGGCTGGGGAAGATGCTGCAGGTCACCCTGCATCAGCAGCATGAAGGCTGTTTTAAACAAACAGAAATCTCAGTTGGTGAGTGAGGATTCACAGTGCCACACGGAGCATGTGCAAGACTGCCAATGCAGTTCGGATACTGATTTACTCCTGGTTGGATGCAAACGGCATTCAGAGTGCAGCGTGCTCAGCGAGCACTCTCTCAATGGACTACAATGTAAATATTGTGGCATCTGGGAAGGCCATGTGTGAAAACACTGACCTTCATCTACCAACCTCCTCTTTAGCTTTAGCAGCAATCTTTGAATTATGGGAGAAGTTGAACAGGAAAGGAGGCAACCTTTATAAAAAATCACATTTCAGGGTTCAGAGATAAATTAAAGGGATACCCTCAAATGCTGGGGACTCGTCTGACACATTCCAAATAGCCCTACCATATTGTCTACTCTCTACTACTCTTAGAGACAATGATGGTGATCGCCCTCGGCTGTGACAGTTCAAAGAGCAAATAATTCATTGTAATGCCATCAGGAACAACAATGCAGTGTGATTCTTTAACAGTAATGTCCAGGCTGAATTCAATGCTCTACCAATCCACTCTCCCACCTGCAGTCCCCAATCTTGTGACTCACTGATTTTCACAAAATCACAAACAGACCTGGAAGAGTTTTGGGGACCATCTTGCCTAACCTGCATGGGAACAGGAATCTCCCTACAATATCCCTGACAAATACTTAGCCAGCCTCTTTTTGAAGACCTCCACTGGTTGTGGCAGGGACCCCACTGTCTTCTGAGGTGCACATTCAGCTTTAGGATTCCTCCCATCCCTAGAGTGCTTTCTTTTGCATGGAGTCAAAATCTGCTCTTCTGCAGCTTCTAGCCAGTGCTGCTAGTTCTGCTCTCTGGGACAAAAAACAAACCCAAACCCTCTGGAGGCATGTCTTATTTTATGGCACTTCACTTTATTGTGCTTTGCAGTTATTGCATTTTTATGAATCAAAGGTTGTGCAAGTCTATTTGTGTGGTTTTCCAACAGCCTGTTCTCACATCATGTATCTATGTATCATTTTGGTAATTCTCTCAGTATTAAAAACTTTTTCATTATTGCTCTATCTGTTATGGTGATCTTTGGTGTTACTATGAACCACACCTATATAAGACGGCAAGCTTAATTGAGAAACGTTGTGTGTGTTCTGACAGCTCCACTAACCAACCATTCCCCTTCTCTGTCCCTCTCCTGGAGCCTTCCTATGTCCTGAGACACAACAATATTGAAATTAGGCCAATTAATAACCCTACAATGGCCTCTATGTGTTCAAGTGAAAGGAAGAATCAATCCATGGGGGAAACTTCATTGTTGTCTTATTTTAAGAAATTGCCACAGCCACCCCACCCCTCAGCAACCACCACCCTGGTCAGCAAGAAGCCATCAACATCCAGGCAAGACCTTCCACCCACAAAAAGATTAAGACTCACTGAAAGCTCAGATGATGTTTAGCATTTATTTTATTTTATTTTTTATTAATTTATTTTCAGTTTTCAATAATCACTTCCATATGCTTTTGAGTTTTAAATTTTCCCCCCCCCCCCCTACCTCCCTAAGACGGCATGCAATCTGATATAGGCTATACATATACATTCCTATTAAACCTATTTTCACATTAATCATGTTGTAAAAAAGAATTGAAGCAATAGGAGGAACCACAAGAAAGAAGAGACAGAACTGAACAGAAGGAAAAAAAATAGCAAATAGTATGCTTTGATCTGCATTCTAACTCCATAGTTCTTTCTCTGGATGTGGATAGCATTTTTCATCATGAGACTTTTGGAGATCTTCGCGTTGCTGAGAAGGGTTAAGTCTATCAATATTAGTCATTGCACAACTTGGCTGTTATTGTGTACAACGTTCTCCTGGTTCTTCTCGCTTCACTCAGCATCAGTCCATACAAGTTTTTCTAGGTTTTTCTGAAGTCTGCCTGCTCATCATTTCTAATAGCACAATAATATTCCATTACATTCATATATCACAACTTGTTCAGCCATTCCTCAATTGATGGGTATCCCCTCAATTTCCAATTCTTTGCCACCACAGAAAGAGCTGCTAAATATTTTTGCATACGTGGGTCCTTTTCTCATTTTTATTATCTCTTTGGAATACAACCCTATAAGGGCTGCTATTGCTGGGTCAAAAGGTACGCACATTTTTATAGCCTTTTGGGCATAGTTCCAAATTGCTCTCCAAAATGGTTGGATCAGTTTACAACTCTAACAACAATGCATTAGTGTTCCAATTTTCCCACATATTCTCCAACATTTATCATTTTCCTGTTTTGTCATGTTAGCCAATCTGATAGGTGTGATGTGGCACCTCAGAGTTGTTTTGATTTGCATTTCTCTAATCAGTAGTGACTTACAGCATTTTTTCATATGACTATAGATGGCTTTAATTTATTCACCTGAAAACTGCTTATTCATATCCTTTGACCATTTATCAATTGGGGAATGACTTGTATTCTTATAAATTTGACTTAGGTCTCTATTTTAGAAATGAGGCCCTTATCAGAGACACTGGTTGTAAAAAATCTTTCCCAGTTTTCTGCTTCCCTCCTAATCTTGGTTGCATTGGTTTTGTTTGTACAAAAACTTTTCAATTTAATGTAATCAGAATTATCCATTTTGCATTTCATAATGTTCTCTTCTCCTGTTTGGTCATAAACTCTTCTTTGTCCATAAATCTGACAAGTAAACTATCCTTTGCTCTCCCAGTTTGCTTATAGTATCAACCTTTATATCTAAATCATGTACCCATTTTGACTTTATTTTGGTATATAGTGTAAGATTTTGGTCTATGCCTAGTTTCTGCCATACTCTTTTCCAGTTTTCCCAGCAGTTTTTGTCAAATAGTGAGTTCTTATCTCAGAAGCTGGGGTGCTTGGGTTTATCCAACAGTAGATTACTATAGTCATTGACTACTGTGTCTTGCATACCTAACCTATTCCACTGATCCACCACTCTCTTAGCCACTAGTACTTTTGATGATTACTGCTTTGTAATATAGTTTAAGATGTAGAACAGCTAGGCCACTTTCCCTAGCATTTCTTTTCATTAGTTCCCTTGATATTCTGGGCCTTTTGTTCTTCCAAATGAATCTTGTTATTTTTTTCCCCTAGCTCTATAAAATAAATTTTTGGTAGTTTGTTTGGTATGGCACTGAATAAATAAATTAGCTTAGGTAGAATTGTCATGGTTAACATTTTTTTTAATCAATAAAGTATTTTTTAAAGTATATACATTGGGTTTTCAGGCATAATAATATTGCATACTTAATAGACTACAGTATATCACAAGGGTAGGAAACCTGAGGCCTCTAGGCCACACGTGGCTCTCTAAGTACTCAAGTGTGGCTCTTTGACTGAATCCAAACTTCACAGAACAAATCCCCTTGATAAAAGGATTTGTTCTGTAAAACTTGGACTCAGTCAAAAGGCCGCACCCAAGAACCTACAAGGCCACATGTGCCCTTAAGGCTGCAGGTTCCCCAACCCTAGTATAATGTAAACATAACCTTTATAGGCACTAGGAAACCAAAAAATCATGTGACTCACTTTATTGTGGTGGTCTTATCTCCAAGGTATGCTTGTATTATATTATATTAGAAAGCTAATTGAAGACAGTTATTATATCTCTTCTAAGCAAGAGTAAGTGTGTGTGTGTGTGTGTGTGTGTGTATATATATATATATATATGTATGTGTATATATATATACATATATATTTGAATTTGAATTTTTTATTTTTCCCCAATTATGTGTAAAAACAATTTTTAAAATTTGTTTTAAAGCATTGAGTTTCAAATTTTTTCCTTTCCTCCCCTCACACTCCCTCCCCCATTGACAAGGCAAGCAATTTGATATAGGTTACACATGTACAGTCATGCAAAACATATTTCCATGCTAGTCATGTTGTGAAAGAAAACACAGACAAAAAATCCCCAAGAAAACCAAGAAAAATAAAGAAAAATTATGCTAAGCAAGAGTATATTGGTAAATGTTTGAGGAAGTATTTTCTCCAGTGAGCTTTTGGACTTCCTCTTCCATTTGGCCAATTCTGCTTTTGAAGGCATTCTTCTTTTTCCTCATTGGCTTTTTGGACCTCTTTTGCCATTTGGGTTAGGATATTTTTTAAGGTGTTATTTTCTTCAGTATTTTTTTGGGTCTCCTTTAGCAAGCTGTTGACTAGTTTTTCATGATTTTCTTGCATCACTCTAATTTCTCTTCCCAGTTTTTCCTCTATTTTTCTTACTTGCTTCTCAAAATCCTTTTTGAGCTCTTCCATGGCCTCGGACTGATTCATATTTTTCTTGGAGGCTTTGGATGTAGGAGCTTTGACTTTGTTGTCTTCTTCTGGTTGTATGTTTTGATCTTCTTTGCCACCAAAGTAAGATAATATAGTCTGACTCTTTTTGCGCTGCTTGCTCATGATCCTGGCCAATTACTTGAGTTATAGACTCTTTGTTAAGGTAGGAGTCTGTTTCCAGTGTGGAGAATGTACTGTCCCAAGCTTCAGGGGTTTTGTGCAGCTGTTTTCAGAGATACTTCTAGGGACCTGTAAATTTTCAATTCTTCCAAGGTGGTATGATCAAAGGTGAGGTATTTACTACTTTCCTGGCTTGGTCTCTGGTCTATGAGTGACCACAAGCATTCTTTTCTGCCTTGGAACTGTGAGGAGGATTCTCTCTGCACCTCCAACACAAGCTTCACTCTGTCAGTGCTCCTCCTTGCCCCAGGACCACTACCCAGAACTGTGACCCAGATCCAAGTATGAGCAAAGCAAGAGGATTCTGCCTCAGTGCCAGCAAAGAGAACCCTGCAATCCCCCTCTGGTCAGTCACGTGACCTCCCCTCCATCTGTGGGCTGAGAGCTCCAGAAGCAGCCACCAGTGCTGTGGCAGGACTGGGGCCAGACCAAGCTCCTTTCTCACCTAGGTCCAACAGACCTTTCCTACTGA